AAAGCAACAATCAAGAAATCAAATGATATATTGCACTAGGCAAATCTGCTGCAAAAGACTTCTTAGGTGTTCAAGAGCAAAGATATCAGGTTGAGGACTAAGGTTGTGTCTGACCCAAGTCAGTATTTTCAATTTCTTCATATGCATGTGAAAGTTGGACACTGACTAAAGAAGAATATAGTAGAATTAATACATCTGAGTTATGGTGTTGGTGAAGAATATTGAAAGTACCATGGCCTTCCAGAAGAACAGACAAATCTGCATTGGAAGAAGTACAGCCAGAATGCTCTTTAGAATTCAGGATGGTGAGATACTTTGGACATATTATTAGGAGGGACATGTCCCCTGAGAAGGATGTTAGGCTTGAAAAAGAAGAGGGTCAGCAAAAAAAAAGAGGAAGACACCATGAGATGGATTGACACTGTGGCAGCAGCAGTGTGCTTAAGTGTAACAATTGTGATCATGGTGCAGAACTGGGAAGTGTTTAGTTCTGGTGTGCATAGGGTCACAATGAGTCATAAGCAACTCGATGGCACCTAACAACAATAACAATAAATCAATCTATGGGAAGTGCAGTGGCTCTGTAGGATAAGCACTGGACTGTGAATCACAAGGTCAGCTCCTCAGGAGAAAGATGAGACTTTCTTCTCTAGCAAAGATTTTCAGAAACTCTCTACAGGGTCATTGTAATCGGAACCAACTCAATGAACTTAACAACAACAGTCAATCCATAACAGTAAACAAAGTGAACGTTATGTGTGAATCCCAAGCATCTCATTCTCTAACTGAAGTACAGAAGCAGCAGCAGTGGTTGGCTAGGTAACGTCACATGAGAAATAACTCAAAGTAGAATTTCTTTGTGGGATTACATTGGAGAGAATGAGTCTCAGTGAGAAGAACCATCAAAGGCTTCATAAAGGAGGTGCTATAGGGTTCCCATCCACCAGCAGTGAAAAATCTGAAAGAGACATTATGGAAACCATTCCATTTATAATAGCATTAAAAAGAATAAAATACCTGTAAATCTCACCAGAGATGTGAAGGACATTGACTTGGATCATGAAGAGTCAAGGAGAAGGGACAGACATCTTAGAGGGATAGAATAGCAAATGTTTACTTGTTCCTTAGGAAGAAAAAAAGCATTGTTGCTATCATCCTTAGTTGCCACTGAGTCTTTTCTGACTCGTGATGATCCCATGCGTGCAGAGTAGAACTGCTCTGAAGGGTTTTCTAGGCTGCGTCCTTTCAAAAACAGATGACCAATCTCGTTCTTCCAGAGTACTTCTTGGTGGGTTCAAATAGTCAACCTTCCAACTAATAGTCACGTAACCCATTTATGTTACTAGGGACTCCTAAGAAAAAAAGATATTCCCTTGCTGAGTATACCCCAAAATATTAAGGTAATAAAATACATGGCGTATTCTTAGGATTTTTGTCTGAAACAAGTGAATGTGAATCATGATCACACTGATCTTAGGACAGTAAACCTTTGGCCCACAGAAAACTTCACAAAGAATTCCCCCTTACTGTTAGACCACAGTGCTCTCTAGTGATTTGACCTCTCTGGGTATGCTGATATGTTATGCTGTTGTTGTTGTGTGCTGTGGAGTCGGTTCTGACTCATAGCAACCCTGTACAGGGTTTCCAAGGCTGCAAATCTTTACGGGAGCAGAAAGCCTCATCTTTCTCCTGTGGGACAGCTGATAGTTTCGAACTTCTGACCCTGAGGTTAGCAGCCCGATTTGTAACCACTATGCTACCAGAGCTCCTTTGTTATGGGAAGACAATTATAGGATGTTTAATTAAAGAAATGTTTCAGCTTTCCTTAAACAGCTCAAGTAGATTATTATACTAGATTTTTACCTCACAATCTGACAAACCTATACTTTTATTTATTTTTTAAATTGTGAACTGAATGATAGTTTATATGGGAAAACACTGGCTTTACACCATCATTTCATTGCAGTGATTATTTACA